GACTCCCTGATAGGGTCTGGACATTTTTTTTTTCTCTTTTTTTTTTTTTTTCCTGATACGCTAAAATACAATAAGTTCCCTTTAAATCAGAGACGTCTGTGCTGAAAGAGCACAGGTTGTGACCTGACCTCCCTGTGGCTTTCCTAGGCACAGGGCTAACACATGCATATTCTGCGAGTCATTAGAACCCAGATTTTTTTACCCCCCCTCTTAAAAGAGGCTGCAGCAAACATTATATGCATCTATGTGTGTCTGCTTTACATCAGGGGAGGTTATTGGGGTGCTGCAGAAGCTGCAAGCATCACCCTATATTTTTTTGCATGCGACTATCTTCCCCAGAATCAGATAACAAGAAACGTTTATCTAGTTGGGAGGCAATTTACACGCCAGGCCTCACATTTTGAAAATAGTCATAAATTAAACAGTTACGACAGGATCGGACGATTGTTTTCTCAGAAGGCTAAAAAAAAAAAAAAAAAAAAAAAAAAAGTGATTTGGGAGAAAAGGCAGGATTGGAAATAAACTCCTCGGTGTGGGTGTGAGCTGGGCAAGGGCTGGGGAGGGATGTGAGCGTGTGTGGGATCCTCGCTGAGCGAGGGAGAGGAAAATGCATCCTAGAAAAACGATAGAAAAATAAAAGAAGCACCCCACGGACACCCCTTCCCACTCGGGATCCCTGTCTCCCTGTGGCTAGATGCGCCCTGCTCATTGATCACCTAAGGATTTAGCACGAGTAATTTGGGGGGGAGGGAAAAAAAAAAAAGGAGAAGTTTTTTATGTGTAAAGCAATAATATATAAAAGGAAGTTTAGGTCACGACCCAGAACCTGGACAAAGTCCAGAAAATGACTTCGTTCCCCAGACCCCCTTTAACACAACAAGGAACGGATTGTGAGCCCTTCTTTTCCCACATAAACTACATTTTTTTCCTGTTTCCTGATATCAGGCTTTAAAAAACTCCGATGAGTAATTATTTTACAGGTCCTGCTTCCATTCATATGTTTATCGCGTGGCCACTTTCCCAAGCGTCCAAATGAGTTACAGACGAAATATATGTATTTTTAAACTTAATCCCCAAACTTCGAGGGCTCCAGCACACTGGGTTGCCGATGCAGCCTTAAAGTTAGTGATCTGAGATAACGTAGTGCACAAATTAGCGAGCAGATTTTTTTTTTTCCCCTCAGAAGAAAAAAAAAAAAATTTAGCCTCCAGAGTTAATATCAGGATTATTACTCACCCAGGTTAAACTCTAGTGCAAGCTAATTAGATTTCACAACGCACTCAATTATTGCTTTATAACTCATGCACTATTTCTAGGCAGCAAAAGTTGACACATATTTCCCCCCCCCTCCCCTCTTTGATTATCTAAGAAACACCTCGAGGTCTTTTCCTCGGGAGAGGCATGGTTGTGCCACCCCGGAATTACACTGCGGAGCGGCAGCTTCAGCCTCCTCTTACTTTTCCATACTATCCCTGTCTACTTATGGTAATGATCTTTTCGCACCCGCTACTCGCTTTGGACTATGCAGTTCCTGCTGGGTACAAATGCAAACTTTTCCCCTTAGCTTAAATGACACAGAACTGCTCACTGCCACATTCTGTTTAAATCAGAGACAGCTCTTTGGAAAGTTGATTTATTTTATTTTATGGAATGGCAGGGAACATATTTTAAACTCAGCATTGTGCATTTCACTTTTTTTTTTTTTTTTAATTCAATTTTTAATCCTGCAGGGCTTTTTTCCCTTCCTGGCTGCCCATAAAATGATCCTCTTTTTAAAGTGGTTTCACTGATAGGATGACTTGTATTTAACAACATCAAACAGATTTTGCTGCTGTTCAGATGCGTGTCATTAAATGCAACAACCCAGAGCTATACTGTTAAATAAAATATTATTTTCAATGGGAAGAGCGCAGTCTCTCGTGGCGAATGGGTGCCTCTTCCCGGGCCCCTTCTTTCCCAGTCTCCAGCATTATTCAGCTAGGGTTGGGGTGCATTTTTGTATTTTGGTTGTCCTTTTTTTTTTTTTTTAAGTTTTGTGTGTGTGTGTATTTTATTTTTATTTTATTTTTTTCTAATTTGCACTCCCTGGAAGACGGGATGCTCGGATCCGAGGCCCTGAAGGGGAGACCACAGGGCACTGCTTCCTAAAAGGAAAGAGACCGCGCTGGTTTCTCGGGGGGCCAGGGAAGCAGTGATGGGGTGCAGGCAATAACACTTTGCAAGAGCAAACAGTTCTCAAGGGGGGCCCGGGGAAGGAAAAAAAAAAAGGAGCAAAGAAATGCCGCCTACCTGAGGTGAAGAGGACTATGGCCTTTAAACAGCTATATTCTGCAGAGTCGACATGCAATGCTTTCAGTTTTTCTACTTGCTCTTGGAAGATTCGTATGTGGTCCATAAAGGCGACCACTCGGTCAGCAGACATTGGCGAAGCGTGGAGGCCAGCAGCTGCCAGGAGCGGAGCTACGTGGAGGGGCATGGAGCACTGGGCAGCGTTGAGGACAAATAACTCGCTCCAGGTCAGCCTCAGGAGGGCCACCTGGTCTGTGATCTGGAGGTCTGGGAAGAAGGGGATATTCCTGGCCCACTCCACCGCGCTGAAGAGCATCCTAGCTGCCAGTTCACAAATGTTCTCGATGCCCATGATGTTGTTGGGTTGCATGCACTGACTGCCAAAGCGGGAGGTGGGGTAGGGCTCTGCTCTCAGAAGAAGGGAGATATATCCGGATAGGTAGGAATGGCAGTTGAGAGGGTCCCCATTTGTCAAGGCGAACTGACCATGAGTTGGCTGTGTGGGTGGCATTCTGCCCCTCTGGACCGCTGCAGTAAATAGAGAAGAAACTACAGCTATTAATATCTGAATTGCAACCATCGGTTCAAATACAGCCTGCTTTGTGTGCTTCTGCGTGCCTGTGTGACCCCGGACCCGGCCAGCTTCAGGGGGAACATGCATTTTCCCAGCCAGAGTTCAGCCCCAGCCCCGGTTAAATGCTCCGCAGTTCTCGGGTCAAGTCAAAGCAACAATAAAAGCTGAGGAACGCTGTGAGCTCGGCCAGGGCTGCTGCGGGAGCCCAGCTTCTCACTTCCCAAAACACACCACAATCCAGTTATTTCCCCCCTCCCCTCCACCGCCACCCCCTCCTTCAAGAGATGCAGGATACGTCTTTGTGTGCCCGGGTGTTTTTTCTTCATTACACCTAAAACAGCTCATTGATTTGAGGCTGGGGGAGCGGGATGGGGAGGGAGGAGGGGAGAGGGAAGAAACACTTCAGTTCGAAATCCCCGGCTCTGGTCCCACACGCGTTTCTCGCCCACTGAATACATTGTTGCTGCTGTTATTATGTATCCCCCCCGCTCGTAAAAAATACCAAAGGAGGCGAAATCACCCCACAACATCCCCGGCAGGTCCCCTGGTGAGGCTGAGGGCATTATCCAAAGGCACCTTCCCCCGCTGCCCATGGAAAGTGGGCCTTTCATTTTGTTAATAAATTTACACGGTGACAGCGAGAGAAAAAGGAGAGAGAAAAAGGGCTCAGAGGCAGAGAGACGACAAGAAGGGAGAACGCCTAAAAATGTGCTTGATTTATATTTGTTATCGCCCGTATTCCAAGGTTAGTTACTCTTGCAGAAACACAAAGAGAGGAGCCCAGCGAGTCCCAAGCCCCCTCACCCTTAACCTACATAGCAGCGTCCAGACACAGAGCACGCACTGGAAAACTGCAGGCTCACATTTCCCGTCTAATTTTATATCACAAAGACTCCACTTGCAGAGACCCGAGTACCCCACACTTACTTCTGGGCTGCTCCTTCCCCCCCACCCCATCCCTTCTACCCCCTCCTGCCTCTCCCGGAGGAACAAGAAAATAAGAGGAAGAAGAGAAAAGTGAGGTAATAACAACCAGGAAAGGCAGGCACACGGCAGCATGTATATACACACACACACACGCGGAGATGTGTGTGTATATATATTTTTAAAGGAGGAAAAATCCGGCTGGGAATCCACAGTGGAGTGCTGTAGAGCCTCGGTAGGGTGAGTCCCATTGTAATAGTAATTTGAACCGCCTGTGTAAAATTGCAATCTAAGGCAGGGTGCTGGAGGATATATATATGTGTGTGTGTGTGTGCATCTCGGGAGGCTCCGTGTGTGTGTACGTACACACATGGACAGACACACACACAGAGCTGCTCGGGGGACAGGGGCTAAGGCTGAGCATGCAGGAGGAAACACGAAGGAAAAGTAACCACACGTCAGAATCATCATCTCGCTCCTAAGCAGCGTGAAACTAAAAATCCACTTTCAATAAACCTCCATCAGCAAAATCAAAACAAACACAAATCAATTACGAGTGCAGGAGAAAGCATGCGAGAGCCCCTGACTCCCTGCCCACCCTCCCCAACACCGCTTTCTTTCATTACGAGAAAGTTTCTGGCTGGTTTATTCGAGGGGGGTGGGTAAGGGGGAGGAAAGGTTCTGGTTGGGTTTGGGGTTTGGGTAGGGAGGTTAAAAATAATAATAATAATAATAATAATATATATTATTAAAAAAATTTTAAAAAAGAAAAAGCAAACAAACCCCAAAACGCAGCGAGTGAAAAAAAATTTGCAAAACAAATGAAATCCCAATACCTTCCCGTCTCATGCCAACTTTGAGGCATTTTTTGAGGCGGCAGTACTGACACTGATTGCGGTGGTGCTGGTCAATGGGACAGTTCCTGTTGGCACGACAAGTGTAGCTGAGATTCCTCCTTACACTCCGCTTGAAGAAACTCTTGCAACCCTCGCAGGTAAACTGGCCATAATGTTTGCCACTAGACTTGTCCCCACAAACCACACATTCAATGTGCTGCTGCTGCTGCTGCTTGTCTCCTTGGTTCTGCTGGCTCGGCGGGTTGGTCTGGGCTGGCGTACTGGGAGGGCCCCCGGGCCCCGGGGTCTGTGGGGTGTGCGGGGTCCCGGCCGGGGGTCCCTGCACCGGCGGGGCTTGCGAAGGCTGCGTTCCCTGAGCTCCGGGCACATCGTCCTGGGGGTCTCGCCACGCACCGACTACCATTGCCATATCTATTGGACACCGTTGCCAAACTTCCTGTTCCCCCTTTATTTTCAAAGTTTGTTTGCTTTGCTTTTCAGATCAGCTTTGCAGCAGTCTTTTTATTTTTTGTCCTCCCCTCTCTCTCTCTCTCTTTCCCCCTCTCTCTTTTGTTGTTTTGCCTCTTTTTTTTTTTTTTTTTTTTCAGGAGGGTCGGGGTGGGGGGATCTCCCGGTACCGGCGAAGGTGTAGAAGCACGGGGCGATGGAGGTGTGTGTGCGGGGGGGCGAGGTGCGAGTCGATTGTCTGGGCTCCAGGAGAGCAAAGTAAAGGGGTGGTGGGGGTGGGGGAGAGAGGGGGAGAGAGAGAGAGAGAGAGAGGAGAAAAAAAAAAATCTCTTCAAAGATCTCCCTCTCTCTCTCTTAGAGCTGATCTGCAGCAGAGTAGTTGAAGGAGGAGAGGCGGGTGTCTGGGGGCCAGGTCCAGGGAAGCTCGCAGTCAGCCATTCAGGAAAGCCATCAAAATAAGAATGAATAAAAGGTTAAAGATTACACACACAGCGGAAAAAAACACGCACAGCGGAGGAGACTCTTCTCGGCGCGGAGAGCGGTCGGTCTCGCCGTAGTTTTTGGAAGTCCAGCTTGCAGCAGCAACATCAACTGCGATCGCTTTGTTTTTGTGGGCTTTTTTTTTCCTCCTCCTCCTCCTCTTTCCTCCTCTCTCTCTCTCTCTGCTCTGTCTCTCCTCCCTCCTTCGCTCGCTTTAATTCTTCCTCTCCGCCGCTCCGCCCGGCCGCTGCGCTCTTGCTCTCTCTCGCTCCCTCTTTTGGGCTCGGGGGTGTGGGGGGGGCTGTTGGT